TCAACATAGAAAAGAAAAGGAAAAAAAAAGGATACGTAGTTTGATGACGGGTGGTATGATGAATGGAATGAGATAAAATAATTGACTCCATCGTTTACATAGAAAAAGTAGATAGGTTTACAAAATCGACCTATACGCATCATAGTCGACACAATTCGAAATGCCACCACCAACAAAGTTTTGATTTTAGAGTCGATTTACCTACTTATCTATACTCAGTTTTTGATGCTGAATCTGAAAAAATTATTTTTAGAAGTTGAAAAAAGAACGAGCTAGAAAATGTTGCACATTTTTGAAAAGCATGTGTTTTTGAAGAAAACGACACATTTGGAGTATATCGTATTTTTCGACCGGAAGGAAGCGTTCACTCAGGCTAAAAGAGGAGAGATAGTGGTGTAAAAACTTAAATTAGTATTAACGGTAATTTTTCCTCTGGTTATTGTCGTCAAGTACACACTTGCTTTACATTTTTCTAGAAAAGAAACAGAAAAATAAATTTTTGTCGGCAAACTCAGATTTTAATGATATTGAATGATGATTTGAATTTATTTGCCCGAACTGGAAATTATAATATATATAGAAAATTTTCGTAAAACTTAGGTTTCACTAGGTTCTAAAATATTTTTCTAATAACAAACATTGCCACAAGACTCAGCATAGTCGATAGCCTATGTTTTCATCCACTTCTGAACGTCCCAAACTACTGAATTGAAAAGTCTCGGAGAAGTCGGAAAAAACGTCCGAAGCTCCCGAACCGAGCAAAATGAACCTTTTGCTTGAATCTTGTTTTGTAGAAGACATTTTGGATAATTATTTATGGAAAAAGTCGATAGTGTGAATTGCTGAAAACCGATGATATGCAGTCATCTGGTTGAAAGAGTGTTAATGATGTGAGCGAGACTCTCGATCTGTTAAGTCTAGTCCTTCATACTCTAACGCTTTCGTTGTTTTAGTATTTAGTTTTCGGTTTTGTCACATGTATATGCGCATGACCTTTTATTATGGTATATATATTCAACTATGGGTTTTTTTCTTTCTTCCATCCAGTTGTGATTACTGATATCTATACTAAAGACTGCGTGATTGTTAGTTATCATTGTCTGGGTTTTTTTCCTTTATGTTTCTATGTCTTTGTTCCTTTCAATATATATGTATATAACAGAGCACACATACATTAGTCAGTTCGCTAGTCGGTTAGTATTTTTAGTTTTAGTTGCTAGTTCGAGCGTACATAGAGTTAGTCAGTTTGTGGACAGATCAACTAGTGGTATTATTTATTTAGGAACTTGTAATAGTTGAAAGCAAAGTAAGTGATGACACTGGTGTCTCGGCTGAGGTGTCGATCAAAAACATTTTCAAAAACTAAATCTAAAACAAAACGTAAAAAACGTGAATCAAAAAACCAAGTCCAACATCTCGACGACGTTTTCGAGTTGTTACACTCACAACTCGCCGACAACCAATTAAGTCTTCATCCTGTTCATATTCCAAACAATAATAAAAGGTCATGTGCATACATGTGACAAAATAGAAAACCAAATACTAAAAAGACGAAAGCACTAGAACCTTAAGTCTGAAGAACTAGACTTTAGATAATGAAAAGGCATTTAAGACAAAAAACTATTTCGTCATCTTAAGTTTGATTGGAAAATCATGTGAAATCACTAACAATTAGGAATATACCGAGTTCGAGTTTACCTAACAGTGGACAGTTTCTTAAAAATATCCGGAAAGCCTCTTCTATAGTGCTCTAGTCTGATAATGTCTTTTTCACATTGTTCTCTTTCACGGAGGAATCATTACTAGAAACTATTTCTTAAATGGTTATATGGACTTTCTCTTTCTCCGTGTTCTATGTAGAGTACACAACACATTCTGCGATTTAATTACTACTTTTTTCTCTTTCTACCGGTTTTGTTTCTTCTTATAAGGCGCCCGTAATTCAGACTTACAGCATTTTTTATTTTTGTTTTAAATACATATATTCTGATAGAGCGGAAGCTGCTAATTGCGAATATCACCTTATGTTTTATTTTGATCGAGTTGTCAGCTAGAAAAACGTAAAATACCGAGAGGTGGTCAAAAATCGCAAAATCCTGACTTTTGAGAAAATAGCGATTATCTCCAAGCCGTTTAACTTTCCGATCACACCAATGTGATTTTCGGATTCCTCGTCACAAACTGGATCTAACTATATGGTCTAGAACTTGTTTGGTCATATTGTACCAGCTCTGAAAATTCAGAAATCCCATCCGTTCGTGGGTCCTTATTTTCAACTCCATCTAGTTTTTCGGTCAAGACCTAGCTTCTTTCTTCATACACTATTCGAATCGCCACGTCGCGCGTTACAAAACATCGTTTCGTTTTTCTCGCCATTGCCCGAAATTGTGCCCGTAATTCTCAATTTTCACCACGAGAACTCAAGTTTTATGCAATAAAAGTATCATATTCGGAGTCAGCGTCCAAAGCCGAGTCGAATGGTATCTGTTTTGGCAGCTTTTGTTGATTTTCAATTTTGGGTGAAAATCTTAATAGTTTTTTGACGCGAAACTTCGAACAGAAGAAAAGTGGTTGGGTTGGTCAAAAAGTTACATCAATCGACTCAGTTTTGGACGCTGACTCTGAATATGATACTTTTATTGCATAAAAATTGAGTTCTGTGGTGAAAATTGAGAATTATGGGCACAATTTCGATTTTTTCGCTCTTGGTTTAGAAAAAGTGAAATTTGTCAGCAATGGAGAGAAGAATGAAACGTTGTTTTGTAACGCGCGACATGGCGATTCGATGGAGTTGAAAATACGGACCCGCAAACGGAGCACCATGGATTTTTGAATTTTCAGAGCTGGTACAATATGACCAACAAGTTCTAGACCATATAGTTAGATCCAGTTTGTGACGAGGAATCCGAAAATCACATTGGTGTGATCGAAAAGTTAAACGGCTTGGAGATAATCGCTATTTTCTCAAAAGTCAGGATTTTGCGATTTTTGAGCACCTCTCGGTATTTGCATGAAAGAAAGAAGAATGCATTGTTGTAGAAGCTCTGTTTTAACTGGAGTTCAACCACCAGGAAATGCCTCTCTATCTTCCGAAATTACAGGTAAGCACAGTAAATGAATATAAGTTTATGAGTGCAGATTGAATTTACTTCCTACTTCTATCACCACATACGACCCCAACTCCTACTGTCCGAACAAGAAGATTTATTGGTAATTTTACAATTGTATATCCTAGTGATGGAAGAAAGCAGTCCTCTCCTCACTCAACTTCGTTCCCTGCCATCTCGTCTCAAAATCTTTTCCGATGTTCAGCAATGCCTCGATTACATCAACACCGTTCCAAAAGAAAAGATCTTCCTGATCGTCTTTGCTACTCTCTTACAACAAACTCTCTCTACTCTTCCGATTGTACCACAGATTGATTCAATCTATATCTTCTGGTCATCGCTGACAGCGGAAAACAGAATTTTTACTACTACGACTAATACAAAAGTTCGTGGTGTCTATTATGAAATATCACTTTTAATAGAACAATTAATGACAGACAGAAGCCGTGCAGACAATGACGATGTACCCACGATAGTGAAGGCAACGCAAGACAGGAACCAGAATGTATGTACAACTTCTGATAGGTATTCTTCTCAAATTCGATCGTACAGATGATTCGAAGGCTGAAATGGTTACTGCCTGTCGTAACTGGGTTCAGCAAAACGCACAGGAAGGGGACTTAGACTTTGTACAGGAGTTCGAAAGTGGCTACATCGATTCTGAGAAAGCCGTCTGGTGGTATACTCGAGACACCTTTCTTTATTCTCTGCTGAATAAGGCACTGAGAGAACAAGATGCTGATATACTCTATAGCTTCAGTTACTTCATCAGAGATCTTCATCAACATTGACAAATCTACATTCCATATACGTCAATTCACTCGGAAATGTTCAAACGTTGAAAGTTTATCGGGGATTAAGCATGTGCAGGCGATTTTGAAAAATTAAAAATAATGTTGAAGGGTTTCTGTCGATGACGAGTTTTTTGTCGATAAGCACAAACAAAAACGTTTCAGTTTCAGCTTTGCACGAAAAACTCCTAGTGATAAGGAAGCTGTCATATTGGAAATGAGTATTGATATTGACAAATGTAAGACTCCATTTGCCAATATTCAAAGCCTAAGTTATATCAGTACTGAAGCTGACGTTTTGTTTACAATGGGCACTGTCTTCAAAATTATTTCCGTTCAACAACAGCGAAACAAAATGTGGATTGCAGAACTAAAACTCACCAGCGCAGATGATCCACAACTTCGAAAATTAACTGCACATACGATAAAAGACAATACTGAATCACATCCTCTTCTCAATTTAATATCACTGATACACCACATGGGACAGTGGACTAAACAGGAACATTTCTGTGAAATAGCACTAAACGATGAGTCTGTGATATCTGACTGGGCTGATGTCTCATTTGTGTATACCATGCTTGGATTGGCCTACAGAGAAATGTGTAATATCCTAGGAGCACTTGACTCGTATGGCAAGAGCAAACAGATACAACTGCGCATCTGTCACCCGATGATCCATCTTTATTACCGATATACAACAATTTTGGTTTAATCTACCGCGCACAAGGTGGTCCTAGTGCTGCGCTAATAAATTTTAATCATGCATTGCAACTTCAGTTAAATACAGAGACACCAAATCAAGAATGGATTGCATCATATTATAACAACATTGGAACGGCGTACAAGCAACAATACCGTTATTCGGAAGCATTAGAAATGTACGAGAAAGCACTTCAGATCCATTTACAAATTCTTCCATCAAATCATCCGTCAATTGCAGTATCCTACAATTACATTGCAACAGTTTACGAGTCACTCGAAGATTATGACAGAGCACCTGCATATTATACGAAAACACTTGAAATGCAACAGCATTTACTTTCATCAAATCATCCACACTTAGCTCAAACATATTTCAACTTCTCCTGGACTTACTACGGACAAGGAAAACTTAACGAAGCTGTGGAATATATGAAGCTAGCACATCAGATTCACTCTAAAAACTACACTTCTGATCATCAGGACATTGTTCTCAGCAAAAAAGGGATTGAGTATATAGAAAAAGAACTACGGAACCAACAAGAAATTTCAACCATCAACAACTAGGAAAACCCGAACAGAAATTTTGAAATCTGTGCTTGAAAACATTGTTAAAAACTTACTGGGCTATGAAGCAAAATCAATCATACTTCTCCAATACTTGTGTAGCTCTGTCATTCTTCGAAAATTTTTAGAACATCAGAAGTTCTATCCACCATTTTTCAGCTGCTGTTTTCTCCTATCCAAAAAGTACTTGTTCCCACACCTGAGAAAAAATATCATTTATCCTTCTTTTACTAGAGCAAAAATAGAAAACCTTTTCAGATAAGTTAGCAGCTCCACCTGAAGCATTCGAGAAACAGACACGAAGAGAAGTAGGGAAAGGAATCCGTTTTCTTAGAAGTCTAATATTAGTTTTGAATTAGTTCACTCCCCGTCAAAACTTTGCTTATCTAATTTGTAAAAGAGACTATGATATACAGAACGCAACAGACTCATTCAACAGAAATTGTAATTCACTTCTCAGATAAACTGCTGGAAACTGTACAGTTTTGCTCAAAAACGTTACGAATGATGTTGTACATATTCTACTTCGAATGCACAGCATGTGCTAAAACTTTCCTTACGAAATGATTTCTTTTCTGGCATCAAAATGACTACGAATAAAAAATTCGATTAAATCTGAAACAAACACTTTAAACACTTTCCTGAACAGACTCTACGCTTTTGAACCGATGGATGACGGATAGATCAAGAAGATCAGTTATGAGTTCTTTACAAACCGAAGAACAAAATATGTGATCTCTGACCTATATTCACATTTTTGTTCTTCAGACGTGCTTTGATCTTCATACTTTGAGATTTTCACCGTCCTGAAGAACAGAAATATTAGATCTGTTCTTTAAAAAACGGAGCTTTTTGTTTTTCATCTTTTCAAAGGTCAGAAAAGTTATTTTTTGTTCTATCAGAGAACAGAAATTCTCTTTTTTGATCTTCGGAGAACAAAAGTCCATCGTCCAGGAAGTATTTTATTGAGAAAATGTGCGAATTCGATAGTTATTTGAGGGGAGGACGTTATTAAGAAGAAATGAAGGTGGAGAAGTAGAAAGATTTATAAAAAATACAACGTCATTCTTCAAACTAATAGGCTAGGAGTCTACGTAAATGTTCGCAATGATTTTTGCTTTTTAGTATGACTCTGATTCCATTATTTTAGATGCAGAATCATAAACTAACTTTTTGAGTTTTATTTGTTTTTGCTTTTGCTTTTCAGATAATTTTTAATTTTGTTTTCAGAATATTCCGTCGATTTCTTTTTTGAGATTTCTCTTTATATAATAATTTTTCATGCTGTATAGCTCGAATATTGTCTAATATTCATCGTATCACGGAATTCTAGTTCCGGAAAATTTCTCTTTGCTGAAACATGATGCCAAAAGCTGGAAAAAACAAAAAAATTGCTCTAATTTTTGAATGAGGAGCATTACGTAAACGGCTTAACGCGTTAGAACCGCATTATATGTTTCATATTCGGTGATTCTAACGAGTTAGATAGTAGTGTGTGATAACGTCTCCATAAATCGTTCAAACCCGTTAAAAACTGAACAAGTTAGCTTCCTGGATGCGTTTACACTCGTTAGAATAATACTTCGGATCAATGTAATTTTAACGCGTTATAGTGCGTGTATACTGTGTTTATCCTTTTCAGTCAGGTTTTTGTTCTGTTGATGGATCCCAAGATCCACATGGCTATGGTCTACTAGATACTGTTATTATGCTGTATTCAGACGAAATCTAATAACGCATAATATCGATCGATATATTCATGTGCAACATGCGCTGATGTATCATTTCTTGTTGTTCGAATAACGTCATCTGTACAACACAATTCCTTAACAAACGCATACTGTCGTTTTTAAAGATGAAATACCACACAATCAATGCATAACGTTTTCCGATGTCTTGTGGGCATGGACCGAAGAGCATTACGGCCCATTCCACAATGACTTCTACATAAAGTTTTTCAATTCACTTCACTCTTTCCTAAAAGGGATCTTAGTTTCATGACGGTATGCTGAGGTCATTAAATTAAATGCTGCATAATTCGGATAAAAATCTATATCTTCAATTTTTTCTTTTACTCAAGACACAGAGGAGTATCTGGAGAATATGGAAAGCTGAACACACTTTAATTACACTGTTAGTACAACTACCATCTTAATTAGAGTGTCAAAAATCAGGTACAAAAGTGTGCTAAAATTCCGCAATACTCATTAAACGGCTACAAATCACTAGAACCATGCGACCTTGTTCCAGTTTTTACTTCTTCTACGACTTCTCTATGTGTCATTGGTGGAAAATCAATCTGTGTAAGCCGGTGGCATTTAACCTCTGACCTTTCCGTATAAATTACACGGACTGACCGTAATTATCCCATGAAAAATAGGTGAGTGATCATAATTATCACAAGTGACTTTTTTCCGAAAAACACATTTTCGTAGTTTCTAATTAATTAATTAACGGTACTCCCAACAACACGTAATTCATACAGGTGGCAAAGCTTGAAATTCTCCACAAGATAATATAATTTTTAATTATTTTCCTTGAAATCTCATGCTGAAACTAAGTTGTTTAAGATACTGGAGTAAAATTCACTGTTGTAAGATCAAGAAAAGTAACTGATTCAAAAGTTTCTTTGATAATACCATTTTCTGTTGCTACCGATACAATGTTTTATCATTTTCAGTACCACATTGTACTACTTTACACGGTAATACTGCGGAAGAACTGTTTGTTCTATCAACTTTCAGCAATTGTGACTGAGCGTCAGAAAGATAAGACTTTTCGCCTTCTTCTTGAATTCTCTTATGACGATCCTAAACTGGACTAAAAGTACTAAGACTTGAGCTTGCACTAATTGACGGCTCAAACTACTCAAATCTTCGTCATATTGAATGATTCTGTCCTTATCGGATGAGCCGATTATCGAATTTAACCATGTAATCAGATCATAAGTTTTATTCGTATTCTCTTCTGCATCAACAACCGAATTTTGGTGTGGATTTTGAGTTCTATTATCAATTGAATAGTTTCTTACTGAATTATCATTATGAATAAATTCCTCATCATCAGAATTATTATGATCGTGCGATAAATCATCATTATCATTATTCGACAAGGTTCTTCAAATACTGCTGCTGCATCTAGTGGCAACTTTTCGTCAAACATAATTCCTTTTTTAATATCAGGTCTAGGCGAGTTATTATCATCATTTTCTTTCATACGGCGTTCGATTTGTTTTTTTGTCTTTAATGCATTGTCAGTTTCAGACTGTTGCCCATCAATTTCTGATTGAGATTGATTCTCATTAATTCGAATTTTGTTCTTGAATACGTTTCCAAAAATCTTCGTCGGACCGAGGTTGCTGACGAATACCATCTCAAATGGTTTTTTTTTGTCGTTTTTGCGATACTGATATTAATAGCTAGCATCACTGCAACAAGAAACAAGAAGCTGATAGTTCTGGTCATCACTACTTTTAGTCATTCTTTCCGGCCTAGTCCAGCAGGCCAGTCTGCCGTTTGATTGCAATCTAACCATTTACCAAGAAGCTGTTGAACGACTGCATTACCACGATCGACTGTGATTGAGACTGAGTAATTATCGTTATCGTTCGAAATAAAAAATGTTTGTATAATGATTAAATTATCAGTTGGTACAATTACAGAAATATCAGTTAGTTTTTGGTTTACATTTGCCGTATCGTTGTTATTAATAGCAAAGTGAAATGATTGTGATGTTAATAACAGATTTGCTGTTAAGAACGGAGGTTGTTCAAATTGCATCAAACAATTCGGTGCACATTGTAATAGTGTATTGTATAACTGGTCAGCTTTATCTTTTGACAGGTAATCTATGTTTGGTTTTCCATCTATTACCAATCTATGGTGACGGTTTTCATAATGTAGTTTTTTACTTCATGGTTCTTCTACACGGTTTTCTTTCGATGGTTATGGAACTTACGGTTGTTTTTTTCACCGTGTAGTTTTCAAATCTAGTGAATATGTAAAGTTAAAATTAAGTTGATTTCAATCATGAGCATAATGAGACAATTGCGTACTGTAGTTAAATTATATTTTACTAGCTTCAATGTCAACATAAATGTCTTAAACGACATTTGGACAAAAAAATTCCGTTTTAGTTTGCCATAGTGTAGAATAAGATTTTTCTTTCTGTTGCTGATTATGGGTCATTACTAGTCGTGACTTTGTGACAATAATGCAACTTACTTTTCTTTTTCTGCTTTTATCGTCGGCTATAAATACATTTCTATGCCATGCGTTTCTTGTATTATGATATCTGTCATATTTATTTACTTAATTTCTTTTGAAACATGTTTGCTGCTTTGTTGCTTAACATAAAAAAGGTGAAGTGTTATTATCAGTTTACACAAATCCACAAAAAATACGTAGAATTTCAGCATAAAACAAAATCGTTCGATACATAAAAGTTTGAAAAATATTCACCGATCCTCTTCTGCCACGTCAATGGAGGGCTGCGCGATTATAATTACAAAATGGAAAGTTCAAACACTGCTATGCTCCTAGAATTCTGAACTTTACATACATGCAAAGTTACACACTAATTTTAACCCTCACCCCTAGCATTCAGAATTTAAAATCCTGAATTCTAGGAATAACCCAAGCGAAAGAAAAAATCAATAAGCTAGCTCAATCTAGGTAAAGCGGTACAATTAGCTAGCTACTATCTAGCTGAAGCTAGCTAAATGTACCGCTTTACCTAGGTTGAGCCAGTTTATCGATTTTTTCCTTTGCTTGGGAATAGCGGCGTTTCAACTTTACATTTTGTAATTGTAATAGCGCATCTCTAGATATACTCGAAACCTCTTCCGCTCTAGTATGTATAAACTTCTTTCATTATCCCGTAGAAAGAAAGAGTCAGCTAAGAAAAAATCCTTGAGGAATACGGAAATTGATGTAGTTACAGTAGTAACTCAAGCCTTATCACTATTCAGTCCACTACCTGTTTCTTTATCTCTCAAGACTTCACAATTGGTTACTGCGTACAGTCAACACACCTTGAATATTTTCCTAAATAACCGTCATTATGACTATATGACCAAGTACCTAGTTGATTGAACGATAAAAGTTGAGCTTTAGTTCTGACATCTAGAATTATATTACAAGAAAGAAAGGTGAATATAGTGTTATGTTAGTTGATGTACAACGCTTAAGACTTATATACAAGTTTGTTTTGTTTGCTGATAGATGTATTCCATTTGTAAAAATCTAATTGTAAAGCATGTTGGTGATAACAATGAAATATTATTAATTGGTCTAAATCGTCCATCGAAACGGAATGCTGTTAATCCTGAAACTGCAGTTGAATTACATCAAACGTTAATTCAATATGAAAATGATTCTAATACAAAAATTGCTATACTCTATGGCGAAGGGAATTGTTTTTGTGCCGGTTATGACTTATCAGAAGTATCCAAAGAAAACACACACTTAAAAAAATACTATGATAACAATTTAACAGCACCCATGGGACCTAGGTATGTTTTAAAGAATCTTCAAAATTCTTTAAGGGCCGCCCCCTCAGAAATTATCTCCGGCACCGTACATCCGATCTTGACCAAACTTTCTGTAAATGTTCGGCACAATGAGTTACGAGAATGAAAAGATTTTTTTGTCTCCAAGTCTTATGGTTTAGGAGTTTTCCAGAGATCAAGGTCCAAAAAAGACCCTGAACGGCGTCCCAAGATTTTTCAATATACTTCAAGCTGGAGAGTTCGGGTTTGTTTTATTTTAAACTAGACGCCTAACTACATCGACTGACCGGCACCGATTTTTCAATTAAGCCTTTATTAGTTTTCCAGGCAACCAACAACCTGCGAAACCCGAAAAAGCCTTCCGGATTTCTAAAAATCTTCAGTTTGACAAAAAACTAAGACCTAATTCAAAAATCGACGACGGTCAGTCGATGTATCTTTTTTTTCATTTTTAAACAAAAAAAGAATGAACTCTTTACGACCAATCGCTATTAAAAATCTTGGGACGCACTTCAGGTGTAACTCTTATATAGCGAAAACGCTATGTTAAACGCTGTATGAAATAGTCGATTTTATGACTTCTAGGAAAATGCCTGTAACTTTTCGATACAAGGTCATACAGAGTTGTGCGAAGTCTTATTTTGATCAAAAACGTTTGCTCTACAAAGCTGTGTTTTCAGAAAAATTTTAATTGCATAAGCATCCAGGAAAAAACCATTATTTGAAGACCCGTTTTTTCTTAGAAAACTTGCTCAAAATCCCGGAAAAACCACTTTCGTAACCAAAAGCAATACAGATTCTGGAAGTAGACACTTCAGGCTGTCTTTTCATGTGTGCATCTCAAAACCGATATTTTGACCGAAAATCACCATTTCTGAGGGGGGGCCCTTAATGTAAACCTATCTGAGAACTGGTAGGATCCTCAACTGGCTCTCTATTTCAGCCACTATCAGTTTGAAGTTTCTCATTTAGTGAGTAACTTTTTATTGGAAACTTTTTATTGGAGTCAATGCAATTTTCGTCTGCTGCATTGTTTCTCGCATCGAGAAAGCAAAAAGCAAACGTAAACCAAAAGAGGTTTTCTGTAGAACTCGTGAAAAATCAAAAGCTAAATTCTTCATAAGATTAAGCTTTTAATATTCCACACCCGTAAATCATGTAGAACTGGGTCGACACTGAGAATTTGACAGTTTTATGAGCTAAGCTAAACTAGACAAATCATTCTTCTAAAGCCATTAGGCAAAAATCAACTTTTCTGAAAAACTCGTCTTCTAAAGTCCAGTCAACTCGGTGAAGGAAATAATCATTTACCACGTTGTTCAGGAGGGGCAAATAGCCAACGTCCGACGTATTTTTGAGATTCTCTGGCTTAAAGTGTCGAACAGATATCTCTTCGGAGATTCGACATAGCTCCTGAATCATGGTAGCTAGAAAAATAGAGCCTTTGTAGAATTATAGGCCGCTGTCTAAATTGTCGAACGATTAAATTTGGATTTGAAATCCATTAAATCTACACGATCCGACGATCTACTTTTTGAAAGATTGATGGGGCATACCAGTTGCAGGCGGTGGTTCGGCTTGACTTTTCACATCATTTCATACGATGATGCATGTTCTCGTTTCAATGGTAAAAACTGCATGTTTTTTGTACTGTTCACAGTGAAAAATGTGTTCAATAAATGAGAGACTTCGCTGTATTTTGAAATCGATAATGGTTCCCACTCAGGATCATATAGCATAAAATATTTGTCTGTCTGTCTCTCTGTCCACATGAAGAATTTAAAAATACAATAACTTTTGAGAGGTACGTTCTGACTAGGTGAAACTTATGTACTAGAGGTAATTCCACATAAAAAATCTGATGGTACCCTTGAAGAACCTCCACGAGATTTTCAGAAAAGCTTTGAACTCTACCAGGTTTTGAAGAAGTTCAGCGTGTTGTTGTCACAAATGGTAGGTAACCTGGCAATCAACGAGAAAATATAAGAAGTGGTTAAAGATCTCACAATTTTCACATTTTCTCTATAAAGCTTTTGAGTATCGACTGCTCTTTAGGCAGCAGATGCGATGCGATATTCCATGCATGAAAAAACAATCCGGAAGTGGACGGTTGCAGCTAGCTAACGCCAACTAATCGAGTATTGATTGCTCAATTAAGTGGGATGAAGTTGTGATTGATCAAATTTCAATATAAATTTGGTGCTTACAGCTACTGAACAGATAACTACTAATAACAGACTACTAATATAACTACTAATAACAGAAAGTGAATTATTGATCTGATGTTATTAGGTGCAAGTTTTAAAAATTATTACGATATATTATTAAAGTCCAACAGTTCAATACGTGTGTTCGGTCCTAGCTTCGTGCAAGGATTGATTTTGTGTTTTTGATAGTTTAAGTTTCAGAATGATATAATGAGAGTTTATATTCTCGATTTCGTTCTGGTTCAAGATTACAGGCTTAAACCAACAGTTCAATAGGAAGTTTTCACATTTTTGCTTCATAGAACCCAAGCAAAAAAAAATGAGCTAGGAATGGGCAGTTAAGCTAGGTAGATCGGTTTCCTACCCGGGTGAGCTAGCTTCTCAATATGTAGTCCAACCTAGAACCGAACGGTTAAGCTAGCTCTTCACAT